TTCAAAATAGACTCGCCCAGGCCGTGGCATTTTATGGAAGAGCCACACTCAAGAGGCCAAAGAGCCTCATGTGGCTCTCAAGCCGCAGTTTGCCCTAGAGTTACTGTGGTCAAGAACAGAGTTTGTTTTAGGATGGGGCCGCGTTCACCCACTACTGCTTTGCCTCCATCTCCCCCCAGTCTGCACACCCTACCTGCAGGTGTCCTCTCACCAGCTCTCCAGGACACAGGCCAGCGGGGGCCACCAGCCATGCTCTTTGCCAACTGTCACTGACCGGGGACCCCTCTGCTCCCTAAGCCGAGGCAACCCCACAGATGCCCACCAGTCACCTGGACGCCACCCCTGAGGTGCCCACAGGTGTCAGTCACCGCACCAGAAAGGAACCGACTCCTGCCCCCTGCCATCGGGTCTGTCACTGATTAACCGTGTGTTTCACCCTCAGCGCCCAGCGTTACACCTGAGTGTCTCATTAAAGCTTGGCTCCACTTCCCACTCACCTTCAGAGGCCAAATGCTAAAGACTCGCTGCTGCCAAGCTGGCTTCGGGGATTATCGCTTCCACCCTCAGTGCCAGAAAGCCAGCCGCTCAAGTGTGGGCTGGAGGCTAGGCGTGGAGGCTGTTTTGTTGTCTGCAACTGTCTACAGCTTGTCTGGAGTTCCCATTCCGTGGCAAAGCACCTAGCTTTTTGTTGTTGTTAATCCTCACCCGAGGATGTTTTCCCATTGATCCTTTAGAGAGAGAAGAGAGAGGGAAAGACGGAGAAAAACATGGATGTAAGAGAGACACATCAATTGATTGCCTCCTGCACATGCCCCAACCAGGGCCTGAGCCAGGGAGGAGCCTGCAACCAAGATACATGCCCTTGACCAGAGTTGAACCCAGCACCCTTCTTTCTGCAGTCCGATGCTCTGTCTACTGAGCCAGACTGGTTAGGGTGAGCATTTAGCTTTTATTCTCTCTCCCTTCCTTCCTTCCTTCCTTCCTTCCTTCCTTCCTTCCTTCCTTCCTTCCTTCCTTCCTTCCTTCCTTCTTCCTTCCCTCCTTCCTTTTCTCTCTTTCCTTCCTCCCTCCTTCATTTCCTAAGCAGTGGTGGTTCTGATCCATCGTCTGCTAGCCCATTTTCTGGACATTGAAACTAAGCCCAACATGTTCAGACTTTGTCTTGCTTGTTATTCCATGGAATATGCCCACAGAGCTAACGAGTCTCCCAGTTTGAAAGCATAGTGCCATGTACAATGGCGTGGACACCTGTGTTGGTTCTTCCTTCAAGACCCCATTCACAGCTTAACGTATGAATTTTAGCATTTCTTCATTGCTCCGCTTAGCTGCGGGACCCTCATTTCTTCATTGCTCCGCTTAGCTCCGCGGGACATTCTAGACTGGTTGCTGGCTGCCTTTTAAGTCCGTTGTTTTTCTTATCCTTGGAGAGATGTATTCTTGAACCTTTGGAATTGGCTCCTCTTTTGGCCCAAGACTGCTATTATGCCAGAAAGCTTTTTTGAAGTCAGTTGTCAGATTCCGTGTAATTAAAGCGATCTGGCATTTTCTCCCATCAAAGCATTTTAGCCAAAATACCCACATGTCTTAAATAATCAACTCTGTTCTGTGTGGAGTTGAGACTTTCTTTTTAAGCTTCACTTTGCCTTCATAAGTATTTACAATCACACAATAGCCCCAGGAACCTAACCATCTCCCCTGCGGGTGGTCACACACAGACTACGGGATACCGGTGTCCTTCCAGGTCCTAGCGGGAAGCAGGTGGCACTCCCACATGGGCTGGATGCCTCGTGTGAAGAAAGGCGCCCCTTCCACATCTGTGGTGGGCTTAAGCCAGCCTGCGGGGACGGCAGCCCTGAAAGGTGATGGTGAGAACCGTTTCCCGTCTGCAGGCGCAAGGAGAGCAGCTTCCAAAAGCCGAGGAAGAGCTGGTGCACAGAACGTGGGCTTCGCCGAGGAGGCAGCCACTGCCAGGGTGTGGCCTGGCCGGGAGAGGAGGGTGACGCCCTGCACCTGTTTCTCATCCTCTTGTCTCTTGTCTCTCCTGTCTTCCATTGGTTGGACCCAACCAGAAGCCGAAGGACAAGGCAGCGCACTGGGTGCCATGAGGAGAAGCCTGCCCCCTCGGCCGCAGACCCGGGGCCAGGGCTGGAGGGCAGGCAGAGCACAGCACGGGCGCGGATCCCCCAAGAGCAAGTGAAATGGCGTGTTTCTGGACTGTGCTCCCATTTCCCAGAAATGTGTCCTCGGGGAGAAGGCCTGATGGCACAGGGGGGAGTTCCCCGTCTGTCTGGGAAGATGAGTCAGGAACGTCTGGCTAAAATGGCCAGCTCTTCCTTTGCAGGCGCATCCTCCTCTCAGGCTCCTGCGTTTTAGAAAGCAGAGCCCAGCTGTTGTGCGCCGCAGGAGCACAGCAAACACCTGGGAGTCAGGGTCTTATTGAAAAACACCTTGAGGTGATGATACCGTTCATCGAATCCCGTCCGTGGAAACGGTGTTGGTAGCTGAGAGCATGATGCTGGTCACGCAGGGCAAAGGACCAGCACGCTCACCTGCCCTCAGGGGAGCGGCAGTTTTTAGGGAGGGCTGTTGGCATTCTGTTTATCTGTAAGAGCATCGACTGCTGACGTTTTAGGTCACAGAAATATGTGGGGAATGTAGGCATTTGCAAAAGACAGTCATCATTTTATTTTCTCAGCAGGACACAGTATTCTGCAGAATAGTTGGGGAGTTCCCAGAATAGAGGAAAAAGTCACTTCCTGATCCAAATTCTACCAAGAGAAGAGAGATGAAACAAAATCCCCTCTCTCTTTCTCTCTTTCCCTCTCTCTCTCTTTCCCTCTCTCTCTGTCACGCGCGCGCGCGCGCGCACACACACACACACACACACACGCATAATTTATTGAAGCATATACCCTGCCCCCACCCCACCCCGTGCACGAATTTTGTGCACATGGCCTTTAGTAATTAATAAATATTAATATAAGATTAAACTGTGTTTCAGGTACTCATAACTGTAAACTTCCTTTGGCCCCCCACCCTGTATGTCTACATGTGTGTGTGTGTGTGTGTGTGTGTGTGTGTGCATGCGCACTAATCATTGCTCCCGGTACTCTTACATATGAGACAGGATGTGGCTGCCCTGTTGTCCAGATAGCTTGGGTTTCTCCCCTGGCCATAGGAGGTGGCAGAGAGAACAGCTCAGAAAAAGCACAGACAAGAGGAGAAGATGGATATTAAGACAGTCTGGGGCATGGGGGTGAATGGCTTTGAAGCAGGTCAGGAGTTGAGGCTCTTGCTGGTGGCTTCGCGTCCTCAGGAGCAATGGAAGCATGTAACATGTCCTGTTACGAAGGATGGGGGCATTTTTGGAACCTTTCACCAAGGCCAGTGAAACCTTTCGCTGCTTAAAGGTGAACTTCTTATAAAATTGTGTTAGGCCTGCGACGATGAAAAACAGATATACTCGTACTGCCCGGTGGGGAGGTTCTTTTGATGAGGCTGTGTTTAATCAGGAATTCCATTTAAATAAGTCACTACATTTCCAAGTATTCCGACATGACCAATGTTTAACAGTTATGTGTAATCATCTACAAGGCGGAGTTTGACTGTAAAGAGACATTACACATTCATGGCTGCACAAACGTGGAAATGGTGTGATCAGAACCAGGTAGGACCAGTCGAGTGTGGTAGAGCTTCAAGGGGCATCAGATATCATCTGATTCAGTCCCCACGCTCTCCAGTGCAGGGAGTGTAGGCTCAGAGAGGTTAAACTGACTTCCCAGCGGGACCTTGCTGGCTCATGGTTGCTCGGCAACCAGAACGGAACCATCTCCGTTTGCTCATCTGTCCGTTTGCTCATCTGTCCGTCTTCACGCAGCCTAGATCTCCGGAGCAGAGGTGTGGGATCAGGCTGACCTGGGTTGAAGCTGGTTTACCTCTTGGCTTTGCTGGTTGGGTGTGACCCTGGGCCCCAGCGACGGTTCTGTTTTGTGAAGAACGTATTGCCTGGGCCTTGATTCCGGGGTGCAGACACTACGGTGCTGCCGGCAAGGGTCCTGAGAAGGCACCTCTCTAGCACAGAACTGAGGCAGGTGGGTAACGGGAAGGCTTATTGACGTCTTTCCTGTACGAAGGAGACTGAGAAGGAGAGGGCCTCCCTAGCAGAGAGAGACCTTCTCAAGGGTTTTGGCCTCCTCGGCCTCTGGGCCTGGAAGCCCCGTGGAACCGGGCTTTCCTGCTGCCTCCAGGAATGCCCTTCGTTCCTGGGACCAGTGGGGATGACTGGTGTGGCGTGTGGATGTTATCTCTTCTCTGAATGGCAAGTCTGCACACGCCGGGCATGGTTTATACTCCCAAATGTTCCTGAACTCCGGAGCTTCGTTGTGGGCTTTATTTCGTGCTGTTTGCGCCTGCATGTAGACACCTGCCATTTATGGAGACAGTATAGGACTCACCTCCACGGGCTGGTATGTGAATGAAAGGAGGTAATGTGATGGCACACATGATAGAACTTGTGTACAACGATTGTCATTCAGCTGCAACACAGCAATGGACCTGACATGGATGTTGTCTTAACCACTATTGGGTTGGATACCCTTCTCTTTATGAAGAAATTATTTCTTAAAAATAATGGCTCTCCTGAAAGCACGAGGCAACAGAAAATGTTGATAAAGTACTTCTTATTTAGGAATGGAATCTGGTATCACTTTGTGAAGAGACAAATATGTAGTCAAATCTCCCTTTTTCCCAAGCCTGGTCTTTGGATTGGAAGGCTTAAGCCTAGCGCCTGCTCCATTGCTTAATAAAAAATGCCCATGAGCAGATTCTCAGACCAGCAGGAGCCTCCGTTTCCTCATCCTTAACATGAGGTTGATTCCCATCTACTCACTGATTATGGAGCTCAAGTGCGGGGAAGCACGTGTACACGAAGAGGCAAAAATGTTGTCGGGATGAACTCTAAGGCATGGAGATCTGAAGGCGATTGTTTGCCTCTTTTCCAGCTTTCATCTCGCTGCTACGAAAGGACACGTGGAATGTCTCAGGGTCATGATTACGCACGGCGTGGACGTGACAGCCCAAGATCCTGCCGGTATGTGGTCTTTATCTCTTAAGTCAACAGCCAGCACACGCATAGGCGCCCCAGAGGTGGCTCCCCGTGGAGACGAATCCCGTAGTCCACCCCCGGGGCCTGGGCTCTGAGGCGCTTTCCTCGTTTGTGCTGTCACAGGCGTCTTCATCTCAGACGTGGCTGGTCAAGGGCACCCTGCGTGCCTCTCACCCCCCCTTAAAAGTGTTGTCTTTATTTCAAGGAGCCAGGGGAAGAGGTGATAAAGGGAATGCCTTGTTTGGGAGCTCCTCTTGCCCACTGAGATGTGCTCCGGGGGCAGAGGCCCTGGTCCTCCTTTGGACCAGCTGCCCCCGCCCTCTCCCCCTTTGCCCCCGCCTCTCCTCGCTGTGTTTCAGTGCGTCCACATCAGCTGGGGATGGAAGGAAGGTAGAGAGCGAGGGGGAGAGCAGGAAGGGCGGGGAAGGAAGGAATGAACAGCGCACACACCCTCTGAGGTTCAGATGCTCTTGTCTGGAGGTTGCCAGACAACTGGTGCTATTTTTCAAGTTCCCCAGGCGATTCTGATGTGGAGCCAGCGTGGGCAAACGCTGAGCCACGCAGAGAGAGAGACAGGGTGGTGGGGCCCATCTTTCATGAACGTTGTCCCACTGGAAAGAGCCGCTGAGGTCTCCGGCCTGGGTTCTGCCCGCTGGCAGCACCCGAGGATCAGAGGGACTCCCGATGCTCCGTTTCTCTGTTGTTCTAAGTTCTAAGGCTTTCGTTCGTGCTTACTGGAATATGAAATCGGCCTGACTCTGTAGTCTTTTTGTTAGTCCATAATGGATCTCCCTCTCCCCTCTCCTTCCCATAACACTGGCCTCCTCAAAATAGTTATGGGCGAGGGGGGTGGGGTGGGGGGCCTCTGGTCAGCTGATAGAATTGTTGCTCAAAAACTGATTGGAAAACTTGAGTTTTAGAATTGTTTCCAAAAGTCCATGGCACTTTTTATTTTATTTTATTTTTTTTATTTATTTTTAAATATATATGTTATTGATTTTTTACAGAGAGGAAGGGAGAGAGATAGAGAGCTAAAAATGTTGATGAGAGAGAAACATTGACCAGCTGCCTCCTGCTCACCCCCTATCGGGGATGTGCCCGCAGCCAACGTACATGCCCTTGACCGGAATCGAACCTGGGACCTTTCAGTCCGCAGACCGACGCTCTACCGCTGAGCCAAACCAGCTTCGGCCCGTGGCACTTTTTAAGCCACTGGAAAGATCCCCGGGGATCAGGAATCTCTGTTCTTCCAGAGTAAGTCTGTTTCTTTAGGACAGGCCGAGAGCCACTGGAAGTCACGTCAGGCGAGTGAGGAGTCCCTGGGAAAACGGGGGGTTGGAGGAACAGGACAGTTTCCCTGAGCCGTGCCACAGAGTGCTCCCCCAGTGTCTGGAGAATTGGCGGTCCCGGCAGAAGAATGAATGGTTTCCTTAGGTGACTGCCCGGAGGGAATGCTGATTTATGACTTGAGTCCTCTTTAATCCCCGGCCCGGTGGCTCTGGTCTTAAAGTTCATTGCAATCACCGGTGACGTTTTGCGTCTAAAGCTAGAGTGCCCTGGTGGGCAGGACATCCTCTGACATAAACAGGCTTCCTCCCAGGAAACCATGGCCTGAAAGACTCGGCTTAAAGGGCATAAATCAGAGCTGGAACACAGCTTGGCTCCCCTGCACTTGGTGCCAAGAAATGGAGTTCAGACAGGAGTCCAGTCATTTGCATCAGAGCCAAGAACCCTCCCCTCCCCGTCTTCTCTCATGGGGAGAAGGAGGTGTGCTGATGTGTGCTCACTGTGGAAAGTCTGAGAGACAGAACACCATGAAGCAGTGGAGCAGGGCTTCTGCCACCAAGGAGGAACACCATCCATGATTTTGCTATATTTCCTTCAGACTTTTCTGGCACAGTTTTACACAGCTGAGATCACATTTGATGATAATCTCTACATCCTGTCCTCCACCCCCCTTAACAAATATTTTACCAGTAGCACTTCCTCTAATAAAAACTCTTACGAAGCGTAGGTACGTTGTTGGTTTGTTCGTTTGGGTAGAGTCTGTATTTACCACCAGGGCCCTTGCTCAGTTTTTTAAGAGCCTGGGGAAGCGTTGGGCAGTGCGACCTGCACCCCCCTGTCCGCCACGGTGCCACTGCCCTCCAAGGAGCAGCCCTGGAGGGGCAGACCGGTCCTGGCAACCTCTCTAGGCCGGTCCCTGGGATCTGCCGGTCCATGTCTTTCTTTTTTCCTTTTAAAAAAAAAATATATTTTATTGATTTTTTTTTTTTTACAGAGGGGAAGGGAGAGGGATAGAGAGCTAGAAACATCGATGAGAGAAAAACATCAATCAGCTGCCTCAAGACAACCCCAACTGGGGATGTGTCTGCAACCAAGGCCCATGCCCTTGACTGGAATCGAACCTGGGACCCTTGAGTCTGCAGGCTGACACTCTATCCACTGAGCCACATCTGCTAGGGCTGCCAGTCTATGTCTTGCATTTCGATGGAAACGGGTGGAATCCACAGCACTCTGTGGCTCCAGGATGCCAGCCAGGCGTTCCAGGCAAGCAGAGAGAGGGAGCAGGGTCACCAAGCTGGGAGGAATCGGGGTTCAAGTGGGAGGTCAGGAGTTTCTCATCGGGAGGCAGTGGTTCCAGGACATCAGAGGGTGCGAGAGAGCAATTGGGTGGCTGTCCCAGAGGCAGAGAGCCCAGGCAGCAGAGAGCAGCCCCTGAATGCCAAATGCAGGGGGGATTACTGGGCTGGCAGATCCTCAGCCTCTTCCATAGAAATACCATAGGCCAGTGGTCGGCAAGCCATGGCTCGCAAGCCACATGCGGCTCTTTGGCCCCTTGACTTTTTAGCAAAGGCCAGCGTAGGAGGACCCTAATCTACACTAATAAAAGAGAAACATGCAAATTGACCATCCCTCCACTATGCCCACCAGCCAATCAGAAGTGAGAATGCAAATTAGCCCAAAAAAGATGGCAGTTAATTTGTATAAGCAGGGGCGAGGAGCAAAGACTGAAGACAGCATAGAAGGAGCGAGGCAGCAGAGAAGGGAGGGAGCAGTGGGTATGGGAGCTTTGTTTCTTCTCTGCTGCTTTGTTCCAGCCGCAAGAAGCCCCATTCTTGCAGGAATAGCTCCGAGGAAACCTTATTCTTGCAGGAATCTTCCTGCAATAGGCCTCTAGTTATTAACAATGTACCTACCTATATAGTTTAAGTTTAAAAAAATGTGACTCTCAAAAGAAATGTCAATCATTGTCCTGTTGATATTTGGCTCTGTGGATGAATGAGTTTGCCAACCACTGGCCATAGGCCCATTGGGCCGTGGCTGGAGGTCAGTGCGGGGTTAGGGTTTCCCGTTCCCTGGGTGCAGCCACCCAAGTCTCACACGGGGCTGTGCTCCTGAAGGACTGGAGAGAGACCTGCTGTGGTGGTGCGGTTTGATCACGCCTCTTCTCCTCCTACTCGGGGACCTTGACTCTGAGAACTCCGGTCACTTCCCTTCAGGGCTGGAGAAGTGGAGGGAGAGGAGAGGTCAGGGGTGGGGGCAGAAGTGCAGGCATGGGGTGCTCTCTGCTGGCTGCTGGCAGCCTTTATCGGGTGTCCTCGCCCGTGGCGTCCCCAGCTGGCGTGGCTGTGGACACGGGCCTTGGGTGCTGGCTGCTGAGAGCAGAGCTTGCAGAGCTGAGGCGCCTAAGAGCACAGGTGCTGGCTGCTGAGAGCAGAGCTTGCAGAGCTGAGGCGCCTAAGAGCACAGGCTGGGAGCCTGCGTGTCACCGGGGGCAGGATGCTCTATGCTGTCCCTCCGCTGTCACCCTGAACTTGAGAGATAAGAAACTGAGCTGACTCTTAAGCACAACAACCCTGTCTTTGTTGGAGAAGAGTTTATTTCCTCACAGTTGTCTTCATTGAGGAGATAAGAGATGGAACGTGTGTGGCCTTTTCTTCCCCCCATTTTTTTTTTTCTTTCAATCTGTTTAGGACACAGCGCTCTGCACCTCGCAGCCAAGCACAGCCACCCTGAGTGCCTCCGGAAGCTCCTGCAGGTAAGACCGGCGGCCGCTCCCCGTCACACCGGATCCGTCCACGGTGTGACTGTGGCCTCATCGGTGATGCTCTTTCTCTCCCTCTCCCTCCCTCTAGCTCTCTCTCTCCCCTCCTTCCCCTCCTGTTCCTTCCCCTCCCCCCTTCCCTTCTCTCTGTCTCTCTCCCTCTTTCTTTCTCCTTCTAACTCCACCCCAGACCCTGGGCTTCCTCAGAAGTTTCGCTCTGACAGCACCGGGAGGAGGAGGTGGTTTCCATGGCAATGGCACCGGTGGGGGATTTGGAGGGTCCTCCTGAAACCCAGCTTTTCCTTCGGCTCCCGGGTTCCTCTCTGCAGGCCCGTGCCCTTCACACACAGAGCCCGAAACACCTCTCTCCTGCTGGCAGGTCCTCCCCGCACAGGCCTCCACTCCCCCAGACCAAAGGCCTCCGCTCCCCTATGCCCCTCTGCGGCCCTCAGTACCGGGCGGTTCTCGCCAAGCCGAACCCCACCGTCCCTTCCCTGCACGGACTCCATGAGCTGTGAGTGCTTCGGTCTCAGGGTCTTCGTTTTACCCTTCGCACGATTTTAAGCCGACTGCCTGGTTCCACCGCCTGGCCAGGAAGCTTACAATGATCGCTTAGGGCCGTGGTCGGCAAACTGCGGTTTGCTAGCCACATGTTCTTCCACAAAATACCACGGCCTGGGCGAGTCTATGTTGAAGAAGTGGCGTTAGAAGAAGTTTTTAAAAAATGTGGCTCTCAAAGGAAATTTCAGCCGTTGGGCTGTTGATATTTGGCGCTGTGGACCAATGAGTTTGCCAGCCACTGGCTTAGGGTGACGACCTCCGGAGAGCTTTGAAGGTGACTGTTTAATGCGATCCCAATAGCCCCTTCCCCAAACAGCCAGCTGCTGCCCGTTGCAAGGCCAGCTGGTGCTTCCAGGAGCAGCACAGCGGTAACCTGGTGCCCCGCGTACTGTCCGTCTGGCTGTACTACTGTCCGTCCGGCTGCTGTCCGGCTGGCTCGCCCTGTCACCGGGCCTTGCCATTCTGGGCCAGAAACCGGGTCCCAGCCCATAGCTTGCCCTGCTCTGCTGGTCATGCAGCTTCCGGTCTTGCTTGAACTGGTGCCAGCCGCCACCAGCGCCAGGAATGCTCAGCCTTCCCGGGCTGACGCAGAATTCAAGGAAAACTGATCGGGACCTGGCTTGCTCGTTGTGTTTATGATGAGGCTTCTCCCGGGAAATGGGAGAACTGGTCCGCCCACCTTCTCGGAGAAGGGGGAAGCATTGACCTGCCTCCACGCCCTTGGCCTTATCTGGGTTTTTAAAACCTCCACTCCCGCCCTGGCTGGAAATCCAGACTTTGCATCTGGCTCTGATTTAAGGAAGAGTGAGCCTGACAGGCCAGGGCTCCTCCTGGGCCAGGAGCAGCCATCCGAGCCCCTGATGTAATCGTCTATCTGGTTATGCAAATGGACTGGCTTTTCTGTGGAAGCTTTGAAGCCTTCAAACAGCTCCTTGTGCCGCTCTAAAATCAGGCCACCACCTGGTGAGTGGTAACTTGACCTTCTTTCTTCCCGCCCCTGAAGGGCAGGCCGGCGGGCATCTCCTTCTAACGGTGCCTGTTCCTGCCTCCGGAGCTTACAGTTTGGGCAAACGCTGTTTGCAGACAGTGGGTATAACCGGAGGCTTTGATGCCCTCCTAATGGGGTGCTTCCCTGGGGGCCTAGGCCTCTCCGGTCATCTTCACCTCCCCTCCTGGCAACCCATACCCTCTGTGATATGACCCTTGCTATGCCCTGCTGCTCCTCACCCCTGCACCCTCTGTCCCTCCTCTCTGTGGGCTCTCGAGACCTTGGCTCTTACTGTCTGTCTGCCGGAGACACCTGCCCTCTCCAGTGGCTGCATCCCCAGAGCAGCGAGTGCAAACAGAGCCTGTGAAATCCTTCACATTCCAAACGGGCGCTCTCCCTCCCCTGGTAGTGCCATTCCCCTCACTCTTCCTTCTAACCAGTGTTCCCTGAGCACCATGCCCCAGGCATTGCGTATACCGTATTTTCCGGCGTATAAGACGACCCCCTAATTTTACAGTTAAAACATAGGTTTAGGACTATATTTGCTGTATAAGACTACCCCCCACTTCCGAGGCAACACCAGTTCTTTTTTTAATAGACCACCTCTCTGACTCTGGCCAATCTGAGCAGGCTTTTTTTCCAGTTCAGAAGTCGTCTTATACGCCGGAAAATATGGTACTATCTACTCATGGCCCCCTATCCTGATGGGAATTACAGTCCGGTAAACAGGTACACGAGTACACATGACAAATTGCACAGCACTAAAACGAGATGCCAGGTACTTGAGAGGGGTGAGGGGGTGGTGTCAGGGAAGGCTTCCTGGAGGAGGTGACAACCTGAGAACTCGGCAATGCCAACAGCCAAGGGGAAAGGATTCCAAGCAGACATCACAGCAGCAAGTACCAGTGGCTTAGAGAGAGAAAGGCACTGGTCAGGAAGGAAGGGAAGTCACCGAGTGGGCCTGCGGCAAAGCACTGGGGGTGGAGAAATGAAGGTACAGGGTGCGGGCCCGGCATGTCGGGGTGTGTATGTACAGGGCTGTGATTCCTCCATGCAGCGTGCCATGTGGAGAGATTTTAAGGAAAGAGTGACGGTCACAGATTCGAAAAGTCACTCTAGTTGTCAAGTTGGTTCAAGGGGGAAAACTCAGAACGGAGACCTGCCGGGAGGGAGGCTGTTGGGCCTGCCCAGGGGAGAAGGACAAGGTTGTCATGGAGAAGCAGGGACATTGTCATGGAGAAGCTGAGACAGAGGAACGGGGGCAGGTTTTTGGAGCAGGATTGACAGGCTGCGGTAGAAGGCGGACGTGGAGGAGAAACTGGAGATGACGCCGAGATTTCTGGCTCTCTGACTGAAATCGTGCGACACTCTTAACAAACGAGGAAGTGTCCGAGGATCAGGCACGGGAGAAGGGGGAAGGAACCAGAAGATTGGGCTCGTCCAGGCTTGAGTGCCTGTGACTCACCAGGACCCAAATAGGAACGAGGCAGGGAGTCAGCAAGCCTCTCGCTCAGAGATGCCCTCCCTGGGGTACACAGGCTCCAGCTCAGCCTGTCTGAGCTCCAGGCCTGGTCTGCCGCTCACTGTGACCCCCACAGCTCTGTCCCTCCGTTCCTCATCCAAAAAGGGGGCTGAATGCTAGACTCCGACGAGGGTTGTCAGGGGCCTTACAACAGTTCTTCCATCAAAGCCTGGCACGTAACCGCGAATACGTGTACACTGTTTGTGTTGTCATTGTTCAGTCACGCGCTTGGGAGTCATTGGGTTCTGGATGTGGATGAGATTGTGAAGGGAGAGAGCGGAGGGAGCGAGCACTGGGGGAGGAGGAGTGGCAAGGGCAGGGGGAGGAAGTCCGGGATTGGATGGGCCAGGCAGGGCCCTAGGAGAGAGGGAGTGCTGGAGAAGGGAGTGGATTGCAGGTGAGAGGCTGGTCAGAGGACCAAAGTGTTCATTGTCATAGGAAGCACAAGGATGGTTGGTGGCTTTGACTAGGACATTTCTGTGCAGTCTTGGGGGGAAACACCGGGTGGTGGGTCCAGGAGTGAATGGCAGGTGAGGCGGTGTGGACTGTGTGGGCAGCGCTTAAGAAGAAGTGGGTTTTGTTCGGGGGACAGAGCAGTAGGGCAGGAAACGGGTGGGGGAGGGTGACAGCATCAAGATGAGACATTCTAGCGCGTGTTTGTGAGCTGGTGGGGGTGACCGAGGAGGAATGCAGTGGTGGGGAAGGGATTCGGGGGATGGCTGTGTCGGGAATACGTGGAGATGAGTCCCCCTCCCCATAAGGAACTACAGGACCCTGGAGCTTGGCAGTTGGGACCCATTCGTGGTTATACTCTTCCCAGAAGTCCCATCATGCTTTGTAGGAACAAGATGAGCTGCGTAGAACTGAGCTCTGTGACAAGGGTTTGCTCCTTTTTGTCTTGCAGTCTAAGTGCCCCGCCGAGAACGTCGACAGCTCTGGGAAGACAGCGTTACATTACGCAGGTAACTCCCATGCCCTGTCCATCCTCGGCCATATGACACGCAAACTCTTCCTTTTCCTGACGCAAGCCACTACACTGACCGTGTCAGAGTGTTCCTGGGGCTGCTTTCTGCCATCGCCCCCAGACATCCCCCCTTTATTCAGTTCACAGAACTCACCCATTGCCACCAAACAACCAAAAAGAATGGTTTCAATTATGTTTTCATTAACTTAAGGTGTTGTGTGTGGTGTGTTTTTTTAAAAAAACTAAGGGGTATTTATAAACATTCGTAGATTTCAAGTAATGTGTGATACAGATTTTTTAATTTGGTATTCATTAGTAACATCAATCCATTTATCAACATTTTGTTTCATTAACTGTCTTACAACTTCAAGTGGCAAAATGTTGACCCTGAACTCTGGGATGATGAGATTCGCAGGCTGCCTTTAGGGCTGGTTATGAAAAGCGAGATCCAATGTTTGCCTCCAGGCAGCTGGCCGACACTGGCTTTAGGGCCGGCTGACACTGAAATTAAACGGAAATTGAAAACATCTCTTATTGTTCCTTCCTGGCGCCATTTCTGTTCCACGAGGCCGGAGTGAATGGAGGCATGCCAGGTGGACCCCAGCCTCTTCCTGGGGGTGGGGGGTGCCCAGGCTGGGAGAGTGGCTTGGTGATTGGCGTGTGTTTGCTCCCCTCAGCGGCGCAGGGCTGCCTTCAGGCTGTGCAGGTTCTGTGCGAGCACAAGAGCCCCGTGAACCTCAAGGATCTGGTAAGCGCCAGGCGGCCTCGTGGGGGGGGGGGGGGGCATGGTTTCTGGGGTCCTGTGGGTGCTTCTGAGGCCACTGGCACTTGAGAGAATTGTTTGGCGAATTCTGTTGCTTTTCAACCTAACTCTTCTGCATAATGGATGTAAGTATTATCCCCCATTGGCCCCTAAGTCATACATAAAACAGTATTTAAAATTTATTTTAGAGAGAAAGAGAGAGAGAGAGAGAGAGAGAGAGAGAGAGAGAACACGATGATCAACTGCCTCCCGCATGCACCTCTACTGGGGATCGAACCCGCAACCTGAGTGTGTGCCCTAACTGGGAGTTGAACCTTGACCTTTGCTCCAACCAACGGGGTCACATTGGCCAGGGCTAAATCAAACATCTGTGTGCACTTCCCATGTATGCATATTTGTACTTAAGGATATATATGTGGTCTCCCATCACCTTAATTCTTAATAAGACGCAGTTTCTTGATTTTTAAAATAAGTCTAAGGAGGAGTTTTATGCTTTTCTTTTAGTGCCTATGCATCACTGGGCACTGTGGTCAGGGTGTCCCAGCTGTGAGATCACCTCTGCCGACTCTAACCTGTTGGGAGAACCAGCTGACACGCCCATTGCTCCTGCTGATGGGTTCCATTTCCTGCAGCTTCATGGGATATGAGGTGTAAGACCTCATGGAAATACTGTGACGTGAGCATGTGTACATGCTTCACATTCCCTGAATTTCAGAACTCCCTGAATACCAGAAAGGATTATAACTGCTCAGAGATAATTTTTTAGAACTGTGTCTGCAATTCTACTTTAAAAGGAAACTTAAGCAGCAATCGTAGTATAAGAAATCCCCATGTTAAACTAACTGGCACTGTTGTAACTTACTTTTCTCCTTTGCCTACTTGAAAACATCTACCTTGAACAGGACGGTGGACTACATTTGTAGGGAATGTCCAAGAGGCAGAATGAACACTTCTCTTGTGATCGGTGTCATTTGACTAGGGCCCCTTCACTCTTTAGGATTGTGGAAATAGTTGCCTATATATTCTTCTGGTATTTTTCCATTTGCGTTATACTGTGATGCTTAAACTCTTAATGCATATGAGTGGGGATCTAACTTTCCTTTTAGGAATTGCCAGTTGTCATATGGTAGCATTTTGAGCCCATCATTCCCTCCATCCGCCTCTTTCTATAGTCCGGAGCCAGTGATGGACAGACTCTTACCTTACGTTATGTTTTGGTACCTGGGGAGGTTATGGAGGAGGATGCCTTCCAAGGACATAGCAATGGCATGGGGCCCAGGTAGTTCACGTGGAGAGGCTGCTGATGGATGGCGGGACCTCCAGCTGCCTTGTGAAGCAAGTCCTTCATTGCTCCAGAACCATCTCTGAGCAAATCTGGAGCCTCGACATACTCTGTGTTCCTCTGTCTCTCTCTCTCTCTCTCTCTCTCTCTCTCTCTCGGAGTGGGGGCCCAGGGAACAAGCAACTCAGGAGGCAGAGGCTCCGAGGAAAGCTGAGTGAAATCCTGTGAGAGGAGTTGTGCTAAGATGTAGGGGCCCCGCCGGAGCACAGATTATCACAGGGGTCATCCATAAGACCAACAGGACAATTCAGGACTAACTCTAGAAAGAAAAGGACCTTTGCAGTTCTGGCATTGGTGTCAGCAATAAAAGTCTTAATCTGGTCTGGCTGGCATGGCTCAGTGGTAGATCGTCGACCTATGAACCAGGAGGTCACAGTTCAATTCCTGGGCAGAGCACTTGCCTGGGTTGTGGGCTCTATCCCCAGTGTGGTGAGTGCAGGAAGCAACCGGTCAATGATTCTCTCTCATCATTGATGTTTCTCTCTCTCCCTCCCTCTCCCTTCATCTCTGAAGTCAATAAAAATATATTTTAAAGAAACAGAAATCTTACTCTGAATTTGTCTCCTAGGATGGGAACATACCCCTGCTTCTCGCAGTGCAAAATGGCCACAGTGAGGTCTGTCGCTTTCTTCTGGATCATGGTGCGGATGCCAACTCCAGGGACAAGAATGGAAGGTACCACAGAACGAGAAACCACATGATTTCGGGGATACGCACACTTTGAGAGTCTTTCAAAATATCAGAGCAGTATTGTGGACCATTTGTTAGGAAATGGTTTTTAACTTTGCTTTTTTATTTTCTGCCTTAATAATCAATAATCTGTTTTGATTGAAAAGAACATTTTTTCCTCAAATCTCTGGGAATATCATTGAATGTGTGATGAGATTATTAAGTAATAAAGTGAATAAGCCATTTTAACGCCTTTTCATGCAAAATTAAACATACTGGTTTCTTTTTAACAATGTATAGGTAATTTGAAATGCATGAGGTGGGGGAAAAAATGAGATTTGTGCAGGTCCTATTTAAATTCCATCCTATTTAGAAGATTTTGTTTAGAAGATTATGCTTATATTATTTGGCTTAATATGGCGTGATGATTTGAGTGAATCTGAGGTTTTAATAAACAACTACCTCATTTTATCTTGATAGCATTCCATTTTGAATTCCCTAGAAGATGAAGTAGAACAGTTTTATAGTACCAAATCTTCTTTTCCTTCTCTGTAAGACACGTGAAATTATTTCCCAGCAACCAGTTCTAACCGGGACTCACTTGGTGTTTGCCTTTTCTTTAGGACTGCTCTGATGGTGGCCTGCGAGACGGGCAGCTCCAACGTCGTGGAGGCCTTAATTAAAAAGGGTGCAGACCCAACCCTTGTGGATTCTCTCGGACACAATGCCTTACATTATTCCAAACTTTCAGAAAATGCAGGAATTCAAAGCCTTCTGTTATCAAAAATCTCTCAGGATGCTGGTATGTGGAAGAAAATAGCCGGTGTTGTTTTAAGTGTGTCCACTCCGTTTTCCCCAAAGGGTAAAGGAATGTGTGCAATCTGATATCTTTCGTTATTCTTTTAAACATATTCCTGAAGAAAAATGAAGTGTTAAGTATTGTGTGTATCCCCCACACCCTCAAAGTGGATATGAGTTGTTATGATTCTTATAGTTCTTTTTCCCCCACTTTTTCCTCTGTAGATTTAAAGACACCAGCAAAACCAAAGCAGGTATTTATCTTGGGGAGAGGGAAGTTTTTTTCTTTTTCTTCTTTGCTTGTGAGAATTTAAAAAATGTTCCGATTAAACCACTCTGTGGTCCTCGAAAAGTCATAAAGACTCTGTTGAAAATATATAAGGAATGATATGTCTTTAGCATAAATGATTCATCGTTGTAAGGTGATAAATATTTTCTAAATGGTTTACCCTATCTCCAAAGCTTGTCCCTTTAAGCCTGCTGCTTATATATGTATCTTTTTCTGAAATGTACTAATATTTCCTATTGTTTTGAAAATGTTTGATGTGATTTAAGGTCAGGATGCATAACAATATTTTAAATATTTAGGATATCGTATGGATTATAGACCCACATCCTTGGCAAAGTTAGACAGTTAATGAAAATCAGAGGTTCAGGTTTTCCTTTTCATTGGGGCTGCTTCAAAATGTCATTCTTGTCACACCAAAATTGAGATATTTGCCCTGATATTTTGGAGTTTTTTCTAAAACCATAGCCACTATTGTTTATTTTTTTTATTTTAAAAAAAATATATTTTATTGATATTTCATGGAGAGGAGGAAGGGAGAGAGATGGAGAGCTAGAAACATTGATGAGAGAGAAACATCGACCAGCTGCCTCTTGCACACCCCCTACCGGGGATGTGCCCGCAACCAAGGTACATGTCCTTGACTGGAATCGAACCTGGGACCCTTCAGTCCGCAGACTGACGCTCTACCGCTGAGCCAAACCGGCTTCGGCTATTGTTTATTTTTAAAAAAATATATTTTAATAATTTTTTATAGAGAGAAAGGGAGAGGAATAGAGCGTTAGAAACATCGATGAGAGAGAAACATCCATCAGCTGCCTCCTGCACACCCCCTACTGGGTATGTGCTCCCTACCAAGGTACATGCCCCTGACCGGAATCCAACCTGGGACCCTTGAGTCCTCAGGCCAATGCTCTGTCCACTGAGCCAAACCGGTTAGGGCTGTTTCCTTTATCATTAACGAGATGTATCTTGGCTGTTTATTTACACATCGGAGTTTTTGGAAAAATTATAAACACAAAACCCAGTACTGAATGTGTTACGCACCAGCTGTGGTGCTTATTTATCCAGAGCCGTTAGAGATGAGGTCTCCCTGGCCCCTGGGTTTGCATTCTTGGAGGAGAGGCGTGGAAGTCATGCGTAGCAGGGGGAGTGGGGGGGGCATACTGCTGCTCTGCTTTAAGATGAGAGCTAGATTGGGGCTGTGTCCTGGCTTCTAAACGGTGGTCCAGGACTCCTTGCCCTCCACTCCCCCAGGGTCCCACCCCATCACCCGCTGGTTTTGTCCTGTGTTTTTTATTCTCTTGCTGGTAAAGCATGGGCTGCCGAGAAAGAGCTGTGAGCATGCATGTGGACAGATGTTTATGTGGTCAGACTTCTGGCCTTGGCACCATGAGAAATGCATGAACCATGCAGGTGTTTCTCCTTGTGGATGAAGCTACGTGCTCAGGCTTTACTAACCTCACTAACCCGCCTCCGTTCTCTGGCCTGTGACAACTTTCAGCATGACCAAGTGTCTAAAGTAAGCTCAGAAAGAAGTGGAACTCCAAAAAAACGCAAAGCTCCACCACCTCCTATCAGTCCTGCCCAGGTAAAGCCCCCGCAGCCGCCGAAATCACGCACAGCAGGGCGCCGCCTTGTCCTTCTGTGTTCCCCCGAAAAGAATGTTCTAGAGTTGAGCCTTTAAGGGCACGTGGGAGGTTTTGCTTTACAAATTGTGGTCTGGAGGATTGTGATGATTAGAGTGGAAATAAGGCTGATTCTTATTTCTAAACGGAAGAGTTGAGCTGTATCTTTTTTCTTTCAATATGTTATATTGGTTTTTTTACAGAGAGGAAGGGAGAGGAATAGAGAGTCAGAAACATCGATGAGAGAGAAACATCGATCAGCTGCCTTCTGCATACTCCCCGATGGGGATGTGCCTGCAACCAAGGTACATGCCCTTGACCAGAATCGAACTTAGGACCCTTCAGTCCACAGGCTGACGCTCTGCCTATTGAGCCAAACCGGTTAGGGCTGTATCTATTTTTTTAAAATATATTTTTATTGATTTCAGAGAGGAAGGGAGTAATGGAGGGAGAGATAGAAACATCAGTGATGAGAGAAACATTGATCGGCTGCCTCCTGCACACCCCCTACTGGGGATCAAGTCCGCAACCCGAGCATGTGCCCTGACCGAATCAATCTGGAACCTCTGGCTGGTCAACGCTCAACCACTGTGCCACACTGGCCAGGTGAACAGTATCTTTTTATTAAGCCTCAAGGAAATTTCTTAATGTCTTTATGACGGAGACCTTTTCCTTAAGTTGACAAGTTCGGTTCCTTTGGGCCCTCAAGCCCTAGTGTGAAGGGCAGGAGAACAGGTAGCTGGGGAAACAGTTAGTTAAAAATGAGTATTAGTTTGTTTCTGAAAACACTGTTAAAATATATTTGCCTTTCTAGTTACATTTAAGGTTGACTTACAAGCAGCTCTCATGCCTGGTCATAGTGACTGCTGCATAGAGGAGGAAGTGCAGGTGTCTTTGAAATGGCAATAAAAACAGGCTTGTTATTAAAAGAATCCTAGGCCATGAAAAGAATAATCCTTATTGAGAGCAATATCTCATCTGATAAGTCATTTTCACCATGTGAGCATATTCATTAATAATATTCTCCACCTGCAATATAAGTTTTATCGATTATTGAAGTTGATTCTAGAAAATATAGGAGCAGAGCCCCGTTTAGTTGTGTCCTGCAAACTTTCAGGAAGTATTTGAAGTTTCTGAGTCGCTCTGAGGATGTGTTACCCCCAAAATAATTGGGCCTGAGGAGGATCACAGTTTGGTTGGTTTGCTTTGCTGAGATGTGTTGACGCTGGCGGAGAAAGGACTCTGACACAGCCTCTTCACCGGTGGTTCTCATTTCCTCTTTCCAGCTGAGTGACGTGTCCTCCCCGAGGTCAATAACTTCAACACCAATTTCTGGAAAGGAATCAGCATTTTTCGCTGAACCACCCTTCCAGGTATTTCCTTCCTGTGTTCAACTTGGCTCCTGAATTGTAGGAAACCTAGTAGGTTTGGCTTAAGTTATGCAACACTGGGCAAAACAGAATGTATTTCTCAGTGGTTGATTCACAGACTTCTCATCCCGAAGCACACTTGATTATTTCCCTGGCGTGGGCGCCATACCCAAAGAATAGGATGAATAAATTGCATTTGTTAGCTAATAATTAATTTGTTCATTTGATAAAAAGGGACAGAGGGGAAGCTTATCTAACCGCCAGTCTTCTTACTAAACTGAGTTGATACAGTGCCAATCAGATGAATATGCTCTCTGATGTCTTCCTGAGAAGTAACTGTATATTTTAAGTTGAACCTTTTCGTGACTATAACAGTAATATGTTCTTCCTTTAGAAAAACTATAAAAATCCATTAGGTTTTATTCCACCTGGTGTTGTAGGCTTGTGGTTGGAAAATATTTTTAGGAATGGGAGGGCATTTAATATCTATTTACCTAATAATCACTAGGAAATTACACGTGGGGAGAAAGTAAAGTTTCTGAATGTTAAAGTGAAATTTCAGTGGTTTAATTGTATATTTATTTCCCCCATCTAAGAGTTACTAAGGATAAATTTTCTTTTAACTTGGAAGCACTTGGATCTGAAAAATATTCTATCAACTCATCATTCCCCTCACTTTAACTAGATTTTACTAATAAACTCTTAAGATGAATATATATGCAAGGCAAGGAAGTTACTCTCTTACAGTTAATACCCTAATATGCTTATGGCTTCAAGGAGGCTATAATAGTACACGTTGTTATTTTCTGAAATAGAGTGTATAAAGACCATGAAAAAACACAAGAAGATGAAAAGTGACCCCAATTAGAATGGCTAAAATTTAAAGAGATTAAAAATACTAACTGTTGGTGACGAAGGAGGAGAATTAGAGCTCTAGTGCTCTTGGTGGAAATGTCCAATGGTACAACTATTTGGAAAAACGTTGGCACAGATTTTTTGTTGTTTTTTGTTTGTTTGTTTTAAGTTCAGCATATGATTTAGCCATCCACTCATAGATGTTTACTGATGAGAAATTAAAAATGTATGCCTCAAAAAAATCTTCGCACAAATATTTATAGCAGCTTTGAGTATCCCTAAACTAGAAACCATCCAAATGCCCTTCAAGAAGTGAATGGATTGAGAAAATGCAATTTATCCACGTAACGGAATATGACATGGCCATAAAAAGGAATGGAGTGCTGGCCAAGCAGTATTCTAGATGAATCTGGAAGTCATCGTGCTGGATGAAAGAGGCCAAACACAAAGAAATTCATACCCTGTGACATTTGGTTTATAAGAAACCTAGAAAAATGCAGGAAGGGGAGTGGTGGGTGCCTGGGAATGGGATGGGCAGGTACTGGATGTGGCGAAGCAAGAGGAAGTGTTTGTTTGTTTGTTTGTTTGTTTGTTTGTAAGAGGAAGCTTTTAGAAGTGATGGAATATTCTGTATCTTGATGGTAGTGGTGGCTCCATGGGTGTATATCTGTTAGAACTTCTCATATTACTGGACGCACTGTATTGTAGGTTAAGTGGTAGTTGGAAAATAAAATAGGCATACATTTTTTAAAGTGAATTATACATTAGACAGCTTTCGGTAACATCAGCACTTGCCCAGAGTAAGCCACTGCATTTTTAGCATTTTGGCTTTTACGGAAGTTCCTTTGCTGAAGAATTCTCCCTTCTCGTGGCTGTGGCTCGTGTCCCTGAAACATGGTCTTTTCTGGCCAGTCGCCGCACTTTGTTTTGAAATGACACACTGACTTTGAAGTTACAGGAACATTTGCCATGTATGAACAGATATTCAGGTACTTAGGTTTAAGAGAAACCTTCGGGGGATTGTTGGTCCAAGACCATACATAGAATTTTTATTTTGTGATAAAATTACCTTTATCTTCTCTGACAAGTATCTACTAACATTTCTCTTAGAAATATTAATAATAACATGTTAATAGAAGTTAATGTATAAAATGATAAAGCTAAAAAGTACTTCTTGTGTATTTTATTTATTTATTTTTATTAAATTATTTTCTGTGTACATATTTTAATCTTGTCCCCCCTCCCGTACATACCCTCCCTCCCCAGAGTTTTGTGTCCATTGGTTGTACTTATATGCATGTATACAAGTCCTTTGGTTGATCTTTTATCTCATCCAGATCTTTCTACCCTACCTGCTGTAATTTGAGTCTACTTGTTGCTTTACTGTCTCTATATCTATCTTTTGGTTCGTCAGTTTATAATGTTCCTTATTATCCATAAATGAGTGAGGTCATGTGGTGTTTCTCTACTTCTCGTGTATTTTAATCAGTATTTCCCAGATAAGTGAAACTTTTACTTGACTTCATTATGAAAGTACCAATCCAAGTTTTAGGATCTTGAGAGTTATTATCATCTTAGAAGATATTTGTATTATACTTACTAAATGAAATTCCTGGAAAATGTTTTGAGAAATTCTGGAACATGTTTTAGCAATTACACTTAAGATAATGATCGCTTCTATTCACTTATATTTTAAAATAGCTTCTTTTTTTTTTTCTTTTTTTTTTTTCTTTTTTTTTTTTTCTGCTTGGCCGGTGTTGCTTAGTGGTTGAATGTAGACCTATAAACCAGAAGGTTACAATTCAATCCCAGTCAGGGCACATGCCCGGGTTGTGAGCTCAATCCCCAGTAGGGGGTGTACAGAAAGCAGGCGATTAATGATTCTCTCGCATCACTGATCTTTCTCTCCCTCTTCCTCTTCCTCTCCTTCTCCCTTTCTCTCTGAAATCAATGAAAATTTTATTTAAATATATACTAGAATACCTTCTTTTCTTGAGATGTTTCTAGTAAGATAACACCAGGGAGCAAATGTTGCGTGATTCCTCTGCGGGACATTACAATCAGGAATATTCTTGTAAGTCATCTTTGTGTCCCCGCAGGCCGAGATCAGCTCCATACGGGAGAACAAGGACAGACTGAGTGACAGCACTACAGGTAAGCTGGAAGCGTCTGCTCCTGTCCTTTTGACTCGCCTCTGTTCCAGGCGAGCAGCGGCCAAGCGGGGCTCCTCTGAGTGGGATGTTCCAGGGCAGTGGTATGGATGCAGAGTTAAAGAAGCAGCCCCGGGTGGAGAATATAGAGGGTCTGAGGGAAACCTTGAATCTGAGGCATAAGGGGTATCACAGGAAGACATCATGAGTCACAAACCTGAAGCAGGAGATTGGGCCAGATCATAGAGGTCCTCGTGTAGATAAAGGGATTTGGAAATGTGGAGGGGAGGCCATGAAAGCCCTTTGACCCGAAGGAATGGCCCGATCAAGGCCTATTTTAGGGAGATTAGTCTGACAGTGGGGTGCAGGCTATGTTTTTACTAGGGCGAGGGGAGAGGGAGAGATTTTTTGGCAGCCGTTTGCAGAGTTTCACGGTAGCTGATCAAGTTTGAAGTTGTGTCATCATGGTGGGGTTAAGAAGTGAGCCAGCTTCCAGTGGTTATTTCTAAAAGGATTCGCGGAAATGATACTCCTTAAGCCCTGGAGGGACCAAAAGCAGCCACGTTCTGCTGAATCTGGTGAACCGGTGAACGGGAAAATGTCTGATCCAATCCGTCCATCTGCAGTCGAGGTTCTGTGCATCCATCCAGGCGCCTGGGATTGTGGTGGGAATGCCCCAGGAAGGAAGCCCCAGGACCGAGAACTGCTGTTCCCTTACCCAGCCGCTGGGGGCTCTCATCCTCAGTCAGGACCAGGAAGAAGAACTGGTTTGGGCGGAAAGGGGGTTTGTTAGAGGTCAGAGAAATAACGGTTTAATTTTTAAACATTAGTTTGCATTGCCTTGCTCTTTCCCCCAGGTGCTGATAGCTTACTGGATATCAGTTCGGAAGCTGACCAACCAGATATTCTTGCCCTATTACAAGCCAAAGTTGCATCTCTAACTTTACACAATAAGGAATTACAAGATAAGTTGCAGGTGGGTAGACCGATCGCAGACTGTTCTGTTGGGTTAAGGTACTGGGTTTTTCAGAGTTAGTCAGATGATATTTTATCTTAAACATCTACGTCTGTTTCTTCTTTTTTAATATGGTTAGCCTTAAGCATTTCATAGTTCCAGGTTATTTCTTTTTTGAAAGAATTATTCATTAGCCCTATTTCTGTAAGTTTCTAACTTGGCAAATTATACATAATTATATACATAGTATGATATATAACAACTTGTGTGTGTGTGTAAAGGTATGTGATTAGCCCTTCATTTAGTTAAGTTGATCATTTAGCAGATTTAAGAAGTAACTGTGCTAAGCCCACTCATTGCTCATTTCAGCATAAATAAGATGAGAGATAAAGGGAAATTTTGAGTCCGAGGCTTTGCAGTCACTGCTTTTGTTTTATTTTATTTATTGATTCTTTACAGAGAGGAAGAGATAGGGATAGAGAGTTAGAAACATCGATGAGAGAGAAACATCGATTAGCTGCCTCTTGCACAACCCCTACTGGGGATGTGTCCACAACCAAGGCATAGAACCTGGAATAGAACAGGAATAGAACCTGGAACCTTTCAGTCTGCAGGCCGACGCTCCATCCACTGAGCCAAACCGGTTTCGGCAACAAATCCACTGCTTTTAAAGGGCTTTAAAAATCTGTTCGAATCGAGCACAGGGGAGGCTCAGTGCCGGTAATCTGACTCGCAGGTCTCGGTGATAGTTCCTCACGAGGCCAGAGTACACCTACAAAACGGTCCCTCGGCTCGCCCACATAGAGATTCCAGGGCTGTTCTCACCTCCCAGGTGCTTGCTCACCTAACGGTACTGTGGGTGCCATTTCATCGCTCTTGCTTTCTTTTTTTTAGGCCAAAACCCCCAAAGAGGCAGAAGTAGACCTGAGCTGTGACTCTTTCCATTCCACGCACACTGACCTGGCCCCGTCTCTCGGGAAACCTCGGGAACCCTCGCCCCCCAACTCCCCGAGGCAGCCCCCCGCCGAGGGCGATGCCAGAGGCCAGCAGCTCCCAGAGGCGCTGCGGGACCTGCAGCAGCGGCTGGAGCGCTCCGAGGCCGAGAGGCGGCGGCTGCAGGCTGAGCTGCAGGCCCGGGGGCCGGAGCCCGGGCGCCTGAACGCCACCGAGGTGTCCGAGAACGGCTCGGACCTCAGCCAGAAGCTGAAGGAGACGCAGAGCAAGTACGAGGAGGCCATGAAGGAGGTGCTGAGCGTGCAGAAGCAGATGAAGCTGGGCCTCGTGGCGCCTGAGGGCGTGGATTCGTACTCGCACGTCGGGGGGCTGAGGGTCACCGAGGAGGAGGTGCGGGCGCTGAAGCAGGAGCTGCAGGCCGCCCTGGAAGAAAGCGAGAGGAACAGGGAGAAAGTGAGAGCGCTGGAGGAGAAGCTGGCGGAGAGGGAGCAGGGGCTGGGGGGCCGGCCGTCTGCGGAGGAATACGAGGCCATGAAGAGTTCCTATGGCTCCGTCATTGAGACTCTGAATAAGGAGAAAGCCCTTCTGCTCGAGAGATACCAGGAGGCCCAGGAAGAGATCTCGCAGCTGAGAGATGCTCTGCAAGGTCCGACGGCCCAGGAGCCGGGCGACGACCCCGGGGACATGAAGGAAGCCATGCACAGAATGATCGACGAGCTCAACAAGCAGGTGAGCGAGCTGTCGCAGCTGTACAAGGAGGCGCAGGCCGAGCTGGAGGACTACCGCAAGAGGAAGTCCTTGGAGGACGTGTCTGCCGTCGAGTCTGTCCCCCGCGCCGAGCACGAGCAGCTGGTGCAGGCGGCCCGGCTGGCCAGGGCGCAGGCGGAGGAGGCGCTGGCCGAGGCCAAGGCCCAGCACGCCAGGGCACTGGGCGAGCTGGCCCAGCTCAGGCAGCTGGCCGACGCCCAGAAGGAGAACTCGGTGTCCATCTCGGAGCACCTGCAGGTGGTCACCACGCTGCGCTCGGCCGCCAAGGAGCTGGAAGGCAGGCTCGACGGCCTCCAGGAGCAGCTGGCCAGCCGGGAGGCGGAGGTGGCCACGCTGGAGAAGCAGCTGGTGGAGGAGAAGGCGGCGCTGGCCGAGGCCATGGTGCCCAGGCCCGCCTACGAGAAGCTCCAGGCGTCCCTGGAGGGCGAGGTGAGCGCGCTGGCCTCCAAGTGGAAGGATGCCGTGAAGGAGAAGGAGAAGGCCCAGGCGGAGGCTGCCCAGCTCAGGGGTGTGGCCGTGCAGCTGAAGAGGGAGAAGGAGACGCTTCAGAACCTCCTGAGAGCCAGAGAGCAGGAGGCCGGGGAGCTCCTGCCGAGGCTGCAGCGGGCGCAGGAGGAGCTGGCGGAGCTGCGGCGGCACTCGGAGAGCACGTCCCGGCTGGAGGAGGACAAGGACAGGAAGGTGGGTGAGGCCCTGGCCGTTGAGCTTCCAGGTGGGGAGCCCTGGGGCCTTCTGGGCTCCACGTGTCTGTCATGTGTTCACACCCACTGGTGGCCAGTGCTCTGAGTCCCGGCCCACGCATCCCTCCGTCCCCAGGGCCACAGGAGGGTAGTAGGTGAGGTGTTTATTTAAAAGAGCAGTGCTTCCCTTACTGTAGAGCGTTTTCACATACGGGATGCATCATTTTTCTTGAGAATGACTTTGCAGTAGCTCTGCCAAGGGTCAGGGCTCAGAAGTCACCCCACAAGCCGGAAAGCGCTCGTGACCGATCTTGGACTTGAACGCTTGGGATCCGGACAGATTCCTCTGTCGTAGGGAACCCAAATCCTTCCATACCTAATCCCACGTCCCTAGCACCACGGGAATAAAAATTGCCTTTCCTGGCCCTCATTGTCACGGGTGTATGGGGGTTGGGGAGAGACGGAGGAAGGGGGGTGAGGTGCGGGCGATGAGAGATGGGGGTGTGGGGGAAGGAGGATGGCTCTGTGCTGAATCTGTGCTGCCTGCCAGTCCCCTGGGTCACATGCTCTGAGTGGCCTGGACTAGGCACTAGTGATCATTTATTCCTTGATGATGATGGATGCTTCCATGGAGCCTTCAAAGCTAAGGGGGCAGGGAGGGGGAAGAGGGAGAGGGGTGTGTTTACTTTAAAACAATATGTCCAGAGATATCAGGGTTTCTACAATGTATTCCTAATCGCTCCTGCCAACAAATAAAGAATGTCTAAAACCCTGTTTCTGTTAAGAAAAAAACAAGAGAGGGAAATCAGTGCTACTATAGTGTTTGTTATCTTTATGCATCAAAACACAGTATTTAATTGGGGTCCCTTACCCTATATTTTAAAAGGCTAATATGCAAGTTGTCCCCTCTAACGGGAGTTTGACTGGGAGTTTGACTAAAGGTTGGGGCCGGCCAGCCAACTGCCCATGGTCCCTTCCCCTGGCCGGCCAACCTCCCACATCCTCTGGCCAGGCCTGGCTGGCCAGACCCCACCCGTGCACGAATTCGTGCACCGAGCCTCTAGTTTGAAGATAATGGCCTTAGAAGGCTTCGTGGGTTTGTCTGATTTTGTTATGTGTCTCATTTTGGGGGTTTTCTTTGAAAGGTATAAAAGGAATTGTTCCAAAGTCTCAAGTCCTGGAGGCTCCCAGAGGCTGTGTTCAAGGCTTAGGAATACCTAGGATTTTGCTTCTGCAGGCACATGCTTGCCTGCTGGTAACCGTTTTCCTTTCTCACTAGATCCACGAGATGTCAAAGGAAGTCACCAAGCTGAAGGAGGCCCTGAACAGCCTCTCGCAGTTGTCCTACTCGGCCAGCTCCTCCAAGCGGCAGAGCCAGCAGCTGGACGGGCTGCAGCAGCAGGTCAAGCAGCTCCAGACCCAGCTGGCTGTGAGTGGGCTCATGCCGCCTGGTGGGTGGGGTGGAGGGCGAGGCGGACTGCACGTCTACCCCACTGGGAAGGCAGGTGGGCGTGGCCGGGGTCCCAGCCTAAAGGAGTGAACTTCAGGGAGCAACTCACTGGTGCCCTCTTTGGTGAGGGCGAAGGAAGGAATTGGTCAAGTCTCCACTTACTATCTGCTTTTGGGGGGTTGGGGGGTGTAACTCTGAGGAGGAGGCATCATCGGCGGGACAGTGGAGTAGGCGTGAACTTCCATCCACCAGCTTTTTGCCCCTTCCCCTTGTTTCTCTGTCTCGGACAGTGGCGAGCACTTTTTCTTGCTGGGGGCCAGGATCCCTGGTAGTTGTGTTATCTCTGGGTCTGTAGCTGTTTCTTGGCCCCGCCCCTTCCTCACCTGGAAAGCCCTCTCCTATCTGGATTAGTTTCCTGTGACTATTTCCTACGACAGAGCAGCACGCACTTGATTTTAGACAACACACGCTAATGTTCCTAAGGTTCTGGAGCTCATCGGTCTTGCTGGACTACAGCCAGGATGTCAGCAGGGGGCCCTAGGGGAGATCTATGTCCTCGCCCTTCCTAGCTTTTAGAGGCCGCGTGAATTCCTTGGCGCGTAGCTCGTGCCGCCATCTTCAAAGGGGAGCACTTCCAACCCCTGGTTCTGTCCTCCCATCTTCTCTTCCCACCTTTGACCTTGCTCGCTCTCTTAAGGACTCTTGGGATTGCACGTAAGGTGCACCCCAATCATCAGGGTACTCTTTCTCTCCGTCCCACAATCCTTAGTCACACCGTGAGGTCCCGTTACCATGCAGGGAACAGGCCCTGTGATTAGGATGTGGACATCTTTGGAGGCTCATTATTTAGTTACTGCAATATCAGTTAAGGTTGACACGGGTATGACACAGGTATGTATTTTCCGTGTGAAACTGAGGGTTAGTCTGTTCTGGACCATCTCTAGCTTCCAGTTACAACCAGGACCTGGCTTTTAGGATTTCTCCAGGACAGAGCTGGTACTGGCGAGTTCAGGTGTCTGCCATCCAGACTCTGGCTGGCCACCGGGGCCCACACCAGCTGTGCCGTGCTCCCAGCGCTAGCCGTGGAGAGCAGTCAGGGGAGGAGAAGATGCCTCCCGCTGTGTTCTGCAGGTCATTTTTCTGAGAGAGAGGTGACCACGGACGTGTAGAGAAAGTGCTAATGGTTGCTACAGTCATTCTTAGAATTTCTCAAATTGTGTGTAAGGAGTTCCTCTGGGTCAGTATGGTCCAAGGAGCTGATGGCATAAAAATGAGTAAGACACAGCCCCTGCCCTCACAGTTGATGTGTAATATGGCTTGCCATATTCCTGATGTGGTAAGCATGCATCGATAGAGAGACGCCCACCATGCTGAGGGCAGAAGAGATGGGTGCTTACCCGGCCTGCGTGAGTCTCAGAAGCCTCCTGCAGAAGGTGGTGCTCGTGCTGAGGACTGAGATGTGGCATGTAGTGCCCGGGATAGCCTTGGCGAGAACACTTCCCGGGGCATGGCAGCCAGGTCCGCGCTGCCTGCTGAAGGGACTGAGTGGGGAGGTGTCCGATGGCGCTGACGAATCCCAGGGGGGGAGGGGGAGGAGCCTGAGGCAGGTTTGCTAGAAGGACAGGAGATGGCGGTCAGAGGGTGGGATGCTCTTGGTTGAGTTTCAGAGGCAGACAGAGGCAGGGCCATGGCCATGAGAGTGAGGGGCTGGAAGGAGGAGGAGCGGGTCCCTGAGGCTGAAGTGGAGGAGCTGGGAGGCCAGGTGTTGGGTGGCTCCTCCGTGCGGGGGATGCTGCCGACAGAAGCCGGGATGGGCAGGAAGGCAGGGACCAGGGAGCATTATGAATGCCTGCGTGGAGGCGACCGGAGGTGGGAGGAAGCAGCGGAGAGAAACCAAGCACACCTGCTGACGGCGTGGACGGCACAGGGCTGAGGTTTAAGGTTCTCCTGGAGTGGGAAGGACACAAGGCAGCAATGACAGGAAGTATTGGGAGATTTCTGCGGAGTTTTGACCTCTATATGGCAGTCTCCGTGTTCATGGTGAAGCAGACGGAAGGCCTCTTTTTAGAAGAGCTGAGAGTTGAGGGAGGCTCCTGAAGTGGGCGCCCAGAGGAATCGGATGATCGCTCCACAAGGAGACGTAGAGGCCTCAGCAGCTCTGCGGAGGGACACAGAGAGCGATGCCACACTCCTCCTCCATGCCCGGCAGCTCAGGCACTGTGCTTCCCGGGAGCACGTGGTACCACCGACGGCATGGGTGGAAGGAAGTAACTCCCTTTGGGAGAATGTATTTTTAAAAAATATATTTTATTGATTTTTCACAGAGAGGAAGGGAGAGGGAGAGAGAGTCAGAAACATCGATGAGAGAGAAATATCAACCAGCTGCCTCCTGCACACTCCCCACTGGGGATGTGCCCACAACCAAGGCACATGCCCTTGATCGGAATCGAACTTGGGACCTTTCAGTCCGCAGGCTGACGCTCTATCCACTGAGCATGAAAGAATGTATTTTTATAAATTAAAATAGTATTTGGTCATTGTAGAAAAGTTTGAAAATGTAGAAAACTCTGAAAAAGTTCCAAAAAATAAATTGCTAATAACTCAACCACTCAGAGATGATTATTTTCTGCATTTAATATATTTCCTTGCACTATTTACCTTGTGTGAATGTATCTGTATATTTGCATAAAGTATGTATATGTGTGTGTGTGTGTGTGTGTGTTTGTGTGTATGTATATATGCAACAAATTTGGGATTATAATAACCACTTCTTACATGAATTTTCTCCTAGAGTTGACATACAAAGACATAAAATGGGTTTCTTCCCCCTGAGAATAATGACAAGTGTTCAGAAACACACAGGCCAGTGAGCTCACAACAGTTTAAAAGCTTTCTCTGTGAGCACTGGATGGAGGGAGTCGCCTGGGGAGCATCTGGCCACAGCCCCCTGTAACACAGTGAAATGCTCTCTCCCTAGGAGTGCAAGAAGCAGCACCAGGAGGTCATATCGGTTTACAGGATGCATCTTCTGTATGCGGTGCAGGTATGGCCACGCCCTGGAGTGTCTGGGTCTCTTAAAGGAATACTGCAGTGCACATTGCCCCAAGTCTAAGGTGACCAGATCGTCCAGGTGTTGGTGGGACAGTCCTGATTTCTAACAATTTTTCCCACATCCCGTGGCATTTTTTAAAAAGTCCTGATTTTTGGAAAGAATCTTTCCAGTTTCCGATCTTTCCAAAAATCGGGACTTTTTTAAAATGCCATGGGATGCGGGGGGAAAAATATTGTTAGAAATCAGGACTGTCCCGCCGACACCTGGGCGATCTGGTCACCTTACCCAAGTCCCGCCTTCAGACCAGCAGAAGGAATGAGAGTTCGAGGAGAATCCTGTACCTCGGGAAGCTTCCCAATGCCTTTCGCTTGGCTTTGGATTTTGTGCTGGGAACCCTGTCCTAACTACCAAGAGCAACCTGGGCGTTTCTGGAGAAATAAGGAGGCCGCAGCTGCTACCCCCTCCCCCCGCCGCCAGCTGCCACCTCAGGATCAGGAGCCCGGGCCTGATGCTGGAGGCTCGCCGATATTGTCCCTGTGGGTGGTTTGGCTGGCTGGGCTCAGACTTGCTACGGAGACCCCAGAAACCCTTTGCTGGGCTCCGTTAGTCTCCACCTTGTCATCCTCCAGGGGTTCGAGAGCAGGCCCCTCCCAGACTCAGTTCCCCAGAGAAGCGGGGAAATGGCTGGGGAAAGCATTTCTTGGGACGACCAGCGGCCAAGGGCTTCCTCCCAGCCAGCCACCTCATTTCACCGAGGTCCCCACTAACTGCCTTCTGTGTGACCTTCCAGGGCCAGATGGATGAAGATGTCCAGAAAGTTCTGAAGCAGATCCTCACCATGTGCAAGACCCAGGCCCAGAAGAAGTAGAACGGGGTCCTCGGCAGGATGCTGCCCCCCCCCCCCCCCCCCCCCCCCCGCTGTCCGTCTCAGGTTGGATCGGAGATGTTGGCCGTCACTGCCGTTGTTCTCGCCCGCGGTGGGCACCGGGGGGCTGGCCCGGGAGAAAACTGCCCCCCAGAACCACAGAGAGACCGGACAGCAGCAGAGGCGAGAGGCACTGTCATCGCCGCCCAGGCCCCAGCTGGGGCCGGCCGTGCCGGGCGGCTGGCCCTGGTGCTGGGCCCGGGCACCGTCACCCTGAGCGATACGTGGTCCCCTCCACGCAGGAACCTCGGCCGGGTTCCTCCACGCCGGCTGCCGTCCAGCACAGGGGAGCCCCCTTTTGCCTCTGGTTTCCAGTCCGCAAACATGGTTTGACTTCTGACCAGATGAGTGCAGGGCTGGTTAGGCGGTGCCCGCCCGGGACCCTTGACCTCCGTCCTGTGGATCTGAAAATGCCGATTCCCTCTCCCCCCCCACCCTCCGTCTGCCTTAGGCGGCTCGTCCCCGGCCGGCCAGTCGAGCCGGATGAGCACCGTTAACTAAAACACGAAGCTCGGAAACGAAGCAGAAGCTGCCCGTAGCCAGCGTTCGGTGAACCGCGGGCGGGCTGCGGCCTCTCTGCACACCTGCCTCGGCCGCCGCCGCCCGAGCTCAGGAAGCCCGGCGTCCGGGTTCGACGGGGACCGCAAGCCGCGTGTTTACAGCCAAAGGAAGGCCTCAGCGTTCCTAACCTCAATTTTCTAAAAGTGTTGTGTGTGTTTTTTTCTCTTCTCTACAATATTTTTATGGGCTCTTAACGATGTTTTCCTATTGAAACCCCTTGCCTAAGGGAAATTCACATAGACTATACGAACAAGGTATTTTGTAGGTAACCGTGCGTAAGACTTTTTAGAAATAGGGCTTTTTCCGCAGCGTGCTCAGCGATAGCGAAAGGCAGTTGTGTATTCCTAACCCGGCGTGAGCTGCCAGGCCCCTCAGAACCGGGGTGTCCGTCTCTTAAGAGAGTGAACCCTCCTGTGCCCAGCGAATACCTTAGAAGGCCCAGCTCTGCCAGCGCCCAGAAAGGCTCTCTGGAAGCAGTCAGTCACAGCCCGGGTTCCAGCGTTGAGACAGGAACCCCGATGTGGTAACCATCGGGATGCAAAGCCAAGGCCTTTGGGGGGAAATAGGTCTGTTCCCTTTCTTTACTTTCAGGGGTTTTTTTGTTTTTTAAAATGTTTCTAACTTTCTTGCAACTTCCCTGCCAGCATGGCTCTCCCTGCGGGATGTAAACAACACAGAACTCTGCCGAGTGTGTGATTAACCGGGGGGCCTGCTCCGAGGGAGAGAGGGCGTGCGGGGTGCCGGCAGGTGACAGCAGAGCACAGACGGCTTCCAGCTCTGTGTCGCTCTTCTGCGTTGTCTGTAGTCCAGCAGTTTGGAGAATGCTGCAGAGCCGTGTGAAAGGGCTTTCCGCCACAGCACTTAGGGAAACACAGAACACACACACACATGCGCACACACCACCCCCAACTCCACCCCCTCACAGAATGCTGCAGAGCAGGAGGCCTGAGAGACTGGGATGCTTGACAAGCACAGCCTTCTGTGGGGTCAGTATGCATATTTATTGCAGGCTTTCTGGCTAACTGTTGGAACGCCGTATGCCATAGGTTAGCACGCTGCCTTTGTGATGTACTGAAGTTTTGACGGAAATAAACTTTGGTTCCTTTTTGAATCGCTGCTGGTGCTTTTTGTGGCTCCTCCCGACCCGAGCTCCCGTCTCCATGGGCAACAGCTCTTTCCGCGGGATCTGAGGCATTCTGGGTCTGAGGGTCCGCCGAGGCAGGCATTTCACTTTCCCCTGTGAAGGAGGAAGCACGCCTGGCACCCTCTCCTGGGCCTTCGTCTTTCCACTTGGGAAGTCCTGGGGACTGTTCTCTGCCAGCACACACACCTCATGCTTTTAAACCAGGTGCGGGGAACTTTTTCTGCCAAGGGCCATTTGGAATATTTTTATAACACTATTCGAGGGCCATATAAAAATGATAAACTTAAACATTAGCCTGTTGGCCGAAACCAGTTTGGCTCAGTGGTAGAGCGTCGGTCTGCAGACTGAAAGGTCCCAGGTTCCATTCCAGTCAAGGGCATGTATGTACCTTGGTTGCAGGCACATTCCCAGTAGGGGGCATGCAGGAGATGTTTCTCATCGATGTTTCTAGCTCTCTATCCCTCTTTCTTCCTCTGTAAAAAATCAATAAAATATATTTTTAAAAATTAGCCTGCTGTATTTGGTAAAACATTTAATTAACTCACCCCTAAGGCAGAGCCAGACAAATGATTTCACGGGCCTTATGCAGCCCATAGGCCAGATGTCCCCCACCCCTGCTGACCTGTTGCATAATATGTCATAGTATGATTGTGCCGTGTTTTATTTAACTAGTTCCTCATCGATGGGCATTTAATCTGCTTCCGGTGCTTGACAGCCCTGACAGCGACACGATGACTGTCCTACCTGTACAGACCTACGCGCACGCGTGAGGCTTTTCACCTTCTCTCCCACCACGCGGTACAGGAGCGCAGGGAACAGGAAGGGGATAGTGTATGAGAAAGAGTGGCCTTGTTCTTCACAGTGGTTAAGAGTCGTCAACTTATTTCCCGTACATAAACCTAAGACGGTCTCCAAAGCTTTCAATAATGAGCCCCGTCCATCTTAAGATACACATATGAGGTACTGTATGGAGAAAACGCTCCCCACATATTGAAGCACAGCCTCTCTCCATGGGACACGGCCGGGGCGTGCCGGGTGCTGACCGCAGCAGGAACATCACCCAGCAGAGACGGGGTGACGCTTTTGAGCTAAGTTCGCAGGCAGGACAGAGTGAGCTGCAAAAGCAGCAGACCCAGGCGTGCAGGGAGCGGATTCTGCTCCCCCGCTCAGCAGAGAACTGTTGACATTGTGGGAACGCGTGGCATGTTTGGGACGGGGGGGAGACGGTTGTCATACGTGAGCCATGGGGGCTGGTGGAGGGAATGATCCGTGTGGGTTCCAGCCGGTGGGAAGGCTAACAAATCCCCAGTAGATGGAGGTGAGGGAAAGGGAAGAAGAGCCATTTCTGCACCTTCATTACAGACCAGGCCCCACACGGGGGGAAACGGGACATTCATGATCGATGTGCCCGGTTATAAATGGAGCCTGTGTCAGGGAGAAAGAGGAGCAGGTCGGCCCAATGATGTAACATTTTAACAGTCTGGGGGGGGAGAGGCAGTGGGGTTCCCTATGGGTCACCTCCAGGCATTTTAAACCTGAGCCATTTCGTTCAGGTTAACCACTCTGGAAGGCAGAACAACACCCCACCCCCTGCCCCCCGCCCCATCCCCACTGCCTCCAAAGAAACCCATGTCCTCATTCCCAGAACCGGTGAACATCTGATGCCGTGTGGCAAAGGGGAATTACGTTTGCAAATACAATGAAGGTCCACAATCAGCTGACCTTCATGGTCCTGAGGTGATCAGATGGGCCTTTACAGCGGGTGGAGTCTGTGCTAAAGAGGCTGCATTGCTGGCTCTGAAGGGACTGGCTGAGGCCAGGAACCAGGGGAGGCAGGGGTCTCTAGAAGCTGGAAGAGGCAAGAAAACAAAATTCTGTCCCCAAGGCTCCTGGAAAGAGCCCATTTGTCTCAGCCCAGCGATGGCCTCCGCAGGCTTCCGACCTCGGACCGCTGGGATGAGACACGTGTGGTCAGTCACCATGTTGGACTGAACCCAGGTAGGACCTCCATACAACCTTCTAAGGTTTGGCGGGTGGGGGCAGAAATCTGGTCTGACGCTGCCCACAACAAGCCTGGGGAGTGAGTCCCCTTGCTTCTTAAACCCACCACGTCCCACATGCGTGATCTGCCGCCTTCTTTGGTCTCTCCCTGCCCCCCCAAGTGCAGGGACCTGCCTGTTCCTCATTCCACCCAGGTAGCTCCTGAGGAGGCTGAGAGGCCAGAAAATGTGTTTTAGGAAATTACACAAGAGAGAGTTTATTTGGATTTCTTTGTTCTTAAGTTTCACAGCTCCTGGGGCTGGGATAGTTTGGAAATACTCACATTCGCCTTGGGGCTGGAAGAGTCTAGAAGTACCCTCTACACATGCTTCCTCTATGCCTTTTGCAATGGCAGTGCTTGCCTCTCCCACCTCAGGATCCACGAGGGGAGGGGAGTGAGCACCCTCTAAACCAGTGTTTCCCAAAGTGTGGTATGCGTACGGGAAGGGGTATGGGAAGAATTTGGTGGGGGTACGTGTTGCACCGGAGTTTGGTGGGGATATGCGCTGCACAGTGCTTAGCTGCGCCTAATTCTACGTTCTCATGAGTACGAGGGTCCTCAGCGTTACGAGAATTATAGAAGGGGTACACATATGTCAGAAGTTTAGGAAACACTGCAGTCTAAACCACTGTCCACCCAGATTGCTAGCAGCCTTCCAGAGGGAGCGCACAAGCCTAAAGCCCATTTACTCTATGGTTCACATTTGGGGAAAAGGTGTCACCAAGACTGGGGCCTCTCGCTCTCTACAGGCCTCTTACTTGGATTTCCAACATTACAGATGAGGGCCACGTGCTTCTGGTCAGAGCTAATTAAGAAGGTGGGAGCAGAGCTGTCCGAGGGGAACTCGGCACCTGCCCTGATCCAGCCCTCCCCTGCACAATGCTCCGCACCAGCAGGGGTTCAGGTCGGGGCTGCACTAACCACTGAGAAACAGCCTCACGGCCTTTTCCCAGAATGACAGGACACTGAATCTTCCCGTGTGATGAAGGTCAACGTCAGGGGTTAGGGACATGAGTGTTAGGGAACAGGAGGCCATTCTTCCCCTTTTATTGCCATACACTAGAGGCCAGATGCACAAAAATCCATGCAAGAGTAGGCCTTCCTTCCCCCGGCTGCCAGCACAGGCTTCCCACAGGCATCCGGGACCTGAGCTGGCTTCCCTCTGGCGCTGCTCGGTCAGGAAGGATGTCCGGAATG